ACAAAAACAATATTATTAAAAAACAGAAATATTGTACTTTAAAACTAATTGAGAAAATATGGCTACACATTTATAGTAAAGGAACAACACAAAAAATAAAATATGAAACAGGGTCCTTTTTATACAAATTTGCTACTGTTTACCTTTACATATTCAGCCCGATTGCGAGTTCAAGTAAATTGATGATAAATTGAGAGAAATATTAAATAATGACCGTATGGCAGCCAATGTTGGTATTCACCAGAATTTCGAGTACGGTAAATTAGATAGAAATTAGGTAAATTATCATTGTGAAAATTTTATAAGATGTTTAATACATAAATAAACTTGATAACTTTTAACCAAAAATAATAAATAAATATTTACATAAATGCAGTGCAAAAAATCTCTAGATAATTTCAAATTACTTTACCTCACTTTACTCGAACTTGCACACAGTCTTAATATATTGTAACTCATTCTACTCATTAAACATTATTACATAAAATGTAGCAATAAAAAATTTATTATTACTTTAGATATTTACAAATTTGTTTAGTTATGAATATATGTAAATATATATAAAAATTTAAGTAATATATAGCAACAATTAGAATATACTTAGGAACTGATTTCAACCTTTCCTTGTAAAACAATATATATATTTTTAAATTTCAATAATAATTGAATATTTGCATACATACAGTCAGACATTATTCTTGCATTGCCTCTTGCATTTCTATTGAATGAAATAACTGCTTCACTTCATTCATAAGTTTTTACTATGATCTGAACTGTTATCAAAAATAATAACAAATCATAAACATGACTTGAAATATAACAACAAAATATTATTTCTTGTTAACAAGAACGTATTTCTTACGTTCATATTGATATCGTATTTTGCTACTTGTGTGTAAAATGCTTATTATATGTTTTGGTGAATGAATTTCGGAATATTAGTGAATCTATCTCTGTGACGACGTAATATCTTATTCTCATTTATTTTATTTTTTAATTTTACTATTGAAAAATAAATAAAAATTTACTTTTATTTATTTGTTGCTTTGCTATCAGTTTTTTATCACTTTTCTCTCATAATAAAAATGAATGCCTTGTACAATGCCGTCAGTTCGTTATTGCAGTGGAATTCTTAATTTTACGTACTGCCAGTGGTTTGAAGTACTGTGTATTACACTTCAAGCATTTCTTTGGAATATTTCTACGTGATTGACTGAATTACAAGCACAGTTGGCGGCACATAACCCTTCGCTTATAACTGGTTTAAACTAACTTATATTAACGATTAGTTACGTTTGCTTACTAGGAAATATTGCACCCGATGTCATAGCGCCTTCATGACATTGTCCTTCAAGTTAAGCATTAAGACCTGAGTTGCTACAATTTATAAAGCTGTTTTTCTTTGTATAAAAAAAATTTTTCTTTAGTTAAAAGTTTTTATTTCCATCAGTACTAAATCAAATTTTACTTGATAAAAATTATTGTATTAAACATTTCCTAACCATATTAGATACAAGTAAAGAACCAAAAACAAAACAAAAATCTATAAATAGCTTAATATTGCAAACAGTTATGATATAAAAAGTATTAATAATAAAAACACAGACATTATACAATTACATAAACTAAACTATATACTACATGCTTAACAAGAACTATTAACATTTCAGAAATTTTAACAGCTTTCCAATGCTTATTTCACTTCTGATGGTGGCATCCTTTCAGGAATTGGCACCGGTGCCATATCTTTGAGAATTTCTTTAGCCATTTTAAGTTTATTCTCTTGTTCTTTAATTTCGTCCAATTGCTGTTTTGCTGCTTCAGCAATAGCTGAACGATCTTCTTCTTCTTTTCGCTTAACTTCTATGTGTTTTATTTTTTTTCTCTGGACATCTTCGCGAGCAGCTAATACGGTGGCAGGTTTTGGTTGGGTAATATGTACTTTCATATGCCGTTTAAGATGATAATTTTGTATGAAACGCTTACCACAAATCGTGCATTCGAATTTCTTGACAGTTGGCGGCAACAAACTGCGGTCCATATGCACCTTCATATGTCGCTTTAACGCCACACTTTGTATAAAACGCTTGCCACAGTCCATACATTGATGTGGCTTTTCTCCAGTATGTGTCATTTCGTGATGTTTAAGTGTATCAGCTTTAGCAAAACGTAGAGGACAATAACGACATGCGAAATCTTTAACTCGTTCGTGTACAATTCGATGATGACGTTTTAAATTACCAATGCCATTGAAGCCTTGACCACAGTCAGGGCATATATGTGGACCTTCTTTTAACATTGGTTTTACTTGCGGCGACCAAGATGGTACTGCTACTGATGGAATGGGATTAATGGCAGTTCCTGCTAGCAATGAAATATCTACACGTGCTACACGTCTAGGATCAGTTGATACGGGATTAGCTGTCTTAGAAGTCACTTTCAACAGTTCCTCCGTTACTTTTTGATGCGTCTCTTTTAAGGTAGCCTCTGACACTTGCGATGGAGTGAATTCTTTATTTGGTATACCTTCAAATGCGCGCAGCACACGTTTCTCGTGTGTTTGCAAATGTTTTGTTAAACCTTTTAAATACAAAAATTTCTTATTACAAACCTTACACTCATGTTTCTTGTCTCCAGTATGAATTGTTTCATGCATTTTACATGCATTGGACTTTCCAAATGTTTTACCACAATATTGACATGCATAATCCTTGATTTTATCATGCACTATCTTTATGTGCATCCGCAGGTTTTGTCTATTGTGTGACGCATGGGGACACAGTTCACATTTAAATTTCTTCTCCTTGGTATGTGTGGTTATATGATTGTTCCATTCTTGTTTAGTTGTCTTACCCACACCACAATATGGACACATGTAATTTTTAATGCCCGCATGCCTCATCAAATGGTCTTTTAAAGCAGTATTCGTGACGAATCGTTTGCCACAAATATTACATGGAAATGGTAGTTCCTTGCCATCGTGTTTAAACATATGTTTTTTGTGTGCCATTGGACATTTGAAAACTTTCTCACATTCGCTGCATGGATATTTTTTAATTTCATTTGGATCTCTTACTACTTTGTGTATTTTTTTCAGATGCCAATTTAGAATTCGCGTTCGATGGAATACACGTCCACATCCCTCGACTGTACAAGGATACTTTTCAGTTGGAACCGTATGCGTATGCTCTACATGTACCCGCAGTGCGTAAGATGTTGTAAAGCCTCTTTGACAATTTTCAACTGTGCACTGAAATGGTAGTTTGTCATTGTGATATTTCATATGATTTTGATAATTATCAGCTTTTTTGAACTTTTTCTGGCATATATGACACGTTATTATGCGATGTAAATGCCGTTCTGCAGCTGGTATCCGCTTACGTTTCACTTTAGCTTTTGGTCCATTGCTGGAATTTGCAGCTTCTTTTTTACGCAAACGTGCAGCAAGTGGCAGATCATCATCATCACTGTCGCTTTTATCGTTCTCATTGCAAATGAAATCTTCATCCTCGTCATTATCTTCTTCGAATTCGGTACTTGATTCATCACTAAATATTTTGCCATTTTTCGACTGATTTAAATTAGCTTCCTCTAATTGTTTTTCCTTCTCCTCCGTTTCTTTCGCTTCTTTATCAACATTTCCTATAAGTTTAAAAACATCATCTTCATTTTCCAATAATTCCATTTTATGGTTAAGTAATGGATCACAGTTAGGTGCTTCATCATCGTCTGCCAGAGCGTTTTGGGTTTCCTCAGTACCAGCAGGTACCCAATTGTCAACTGTGGTTAAAGGTACTTCCGGAAATCCATTCTTTGAAAATATATCCTGAAACTTTTGCACAGACTCAATACATTGTTTTTGAAAATCATGTAAATCGTTTAGACGCGTATAGCACACTCCACAGATATTTTTTGGATATCCATCATTTGGTTCAACATTTATGCAAGTGCATACAATTAACTTTTTTGCTAGCCCCGGAATAAGGAACAAATCGTAAGCATTTTCGTATTGTATATATTCTAAACATATCCGGCATATAGAATGTATATTATATTCTAAATTTGTGCTCATTTTATTGTATATAAAACTATATACAAAGACAATAATAATCTACATTTATTTTCAGTAAAACGCGTCGAAAATACTTTAATCAAAACAATGTTGCCAGATCATTAAATTGTTTTTATTTTTCTCGTTAAATTGCTTCAAATAACGTTATAAGTTTTATAATTATTTAAAAGGCTAGAGTACCTATTGCTATGCACAATACATATTAATTACAAATTGCCATCTATGGTAAAAATATATATATGATATAATTTCTTGAATGACTGCGAATTATCCACAGTTAAAACACTTAACATCATCTTTCCACTGCAGCTAAAGCATCATCTTTCCACTGCAGCTAAAGCAATTTAAAAGCGATCACATTTGTTTCTAATGTTTATTTACTTCCTCTTAGTCACTACAACCGCCTTGCTTGTACGAGATTTTAAACAAACAGGAAAGCATAAATAAACAACTAGCTGACATATGAATTGGCAATTCCTATATGCACTGGGTTGCATTTGACAATAATAAACCGTACAGTTGCAATGATCAAAGAAAGTTTATAAAAGTTTTAAGGAGTGGAGTTTCCATAGATATAAATTAATTTGCATAAATAGGTGAAATAACTTGTTTGTTTACATTTTATATACAGTTTGTCAACATTGTGTTTACAAAACGAAAAAGTGTTACAAATGTTTGCCCAATAAAAATAATTAATTTTGAAATAAAAAAAAATTAAAAAGTTTACAAATAAATTAAACATTTTTCTTCATATTAAACTAAAAATTATTCAAAAGTATCATTAGAACAATAAAATAATTCACAAAAATAAAAATAACACCAAATTTGTTGTGTCATCATTGTGTTTGCAATTTTGGAATTTCTTATTTTTAACGGTAGAGAATACCGTTAGATGAGTCTGGGATTTTTTGTTTGTTATGATATTCTGCAAAAACTGTTCAGTTTCTTTGTTATTTAATAAAAGTGTTTTAAGTGAAGGAATAACTAGAACGCTCGTGATTAAATATGACAGGTAAAAGAACAAATTCCAATAATATTAAGTTGGTATGTTATAATTACTACCTCGTTAAATCTGCTAAGGAATAAAATCTAATGTTTAATACGGCGTTTACATTGGCCGAAAATGGCTCATTTTGAATGAGCCATTTGAAAGTGTTTACATTCGTTCTATTCCATTTGTTCTCATTTCAACAGCTGATTTTTCAACTTGCATGTTAATTTGATTTTTGGCCTGTGCCAAAAAAATGTTGCATGAAGGTTAAATATGCCTTCAAATCTTACATTAGAAACTTAAAACATATTTTTAACTTCGATTAATTACTTTTTGGGAAGTAAAAGTTCTAAAAAGCAGTGCATCGTTTTCAAGAAAATGCAACCACCAAACATTTGTTTACCTTTTTTTGTAAATATGTTAAAAACAGCTTTTTCAAACTGTCAAAATGCCATGAAGAGCTTTCATTTAGGGTATATTCAATGGATTCCTTTGCATTTGGAACGTATGTGGAATGCATTCGAACGTCATTTATACAGAATGTGAGAAAATTGCTCATTTTTGTGCTTGAAATTTTATATGCAAGAATGAGCCATTCGATACTCATTTTCGATTTTTGACACCAAAATGAGCCATTTTCGGCCAATGTAAACGCCGTATTACACATACAAATCACTTCTTACCAAATGAATTTTTTTTTGCTGTGTGTAGGGTACTGTCATTACAAAATATCGGCAGGGCACTCTTTTTTAACAGCAGCTGACAAGTTTGCATTCAAAACAAACTTTATTGAAGATTTACGCATTAAACAAAAAATAAGTATTATAAATGAATGCAGTAATTGCATTGTGTAATTTTTGCCAAGCACATGGACCATGTCCAATATTCTGCACATTGACGTTACGCTCAAAGCTTGATGATTTACATCTTGACCAACAAATTAATAATAAGCTGTGTGCAGCTTGCAATTCTTTGGGTCAGTCCAATGCATTGTACAGCAAGGATACCGAAAGCGGTGCTACATTTTTAAGTACACAGACTGCTGCTCTACCGGAAGTGGCCACACTTGTGAAATATGCTGCAATACAAAGTTTAAGTTCAGAGATAAATTGCAACAAGGACGGCGGATTTGTCTTTTTTGGTGACTCAACTCAGGGCCATGTCTTAAGTCACACTTTTCATGTTAGCGATTTACAAGTAATGTATAAAATTGAATTTTCGTCGCTGCTTATACAATATTTTTAACTGAAATTTTTTTTAGGCGAGAGGATTTTATCAACTCTTTTCTATTATTATATTAATGAAAGATAAATATTTCTTGCTAAATACAAAACCTTTTTTAGCTGAACATTTGCGAAGAATCTCATCTGAAATACAAGCATCCGCGCACAAAATAAAAGAAGATGAAGAAGCTAAAGACTCACCTCGTCAGAGACGTTTATCTGGTGCACAATTGCTAGTACAAACGCCAAGATCTCTTGTTGAACTGACTGGCGAAGATAATATATACGCAATATTACATTCACATTTTTCGTGGGTACTCTTAGCTGGTTCGCGGTTTCTAACGGAACATGTCACATTCGGCAATCTACCGTGGTTACCTCCACAAAGTAGTGGTCAACCGCCAAAACAACGATTAACGTATAATATAACAACTTTACCAATGATACAGAAATTCGAAGAAACCCTTGACGATCCTGAACAAGAAGAATTCTATTCACTGCGTCACATTAAACAAGTTGTGAGAAATGATTTATTTACTACAGTTTGCTATTGTGCACTTACAGGGGTTAAGGTATGCCAAATACCTGCCACATGTATTTATTTTGATTATTGAATTTAACGTAATACTATTTCCAGATTATAGTACGTGGTTCCCCGGAACGTACTTTTAATTTTATGCTTTGTCTAAGAAAATTATTACCCGACAAAATGCACAACTTGATGCGTATTGACGCACAGCATCAGCACTCCATTAGTTCAGATTATAAAATAATATCTGTGTCTAATGAAATACCCGTTCCAATCGCTTGCAGTTCCGTGTTGCGCATTGACTACTTAGACAAATCAATGGATGGATTTGAAGTTTCAGTAAAATGGCCTGGCGAATTACCTAGTAAATGTACGCTTAACATGTTTAATTTTATACAAAAAAATAAAATTAAATGATAGGATGGTTCGAAGAGAAATGTAGACAACAACAAAAAATTTAAGTTAATTTATTGCAGTTTGGCTGACTATACAATGCTGCTTCGAGTATTGTCAAGTACTCATCATGGGTAGCCTTAAGAAATATTCCAATTCCCGACTATTGATGATGAATATTTGGCAATACTCGAAACAGCATTTTATAGTCAGCCAAACTTCAATAAAATAAATAAAATTTTTTGTTGTTGTCACTTCATTTCTATGCGAACCCTTCCAACTTTTAAATAGTTTCTTTCCGTTATAAAACGCGTTACTTTCGACAAAATTTAACATTAGAAAATGAATTTATTTTAAAATTATTAACAGGGCCCGATTTAATGGTTAAACTAATTAAAGCAGTCAATGAGACGCGCTTTACAGAGCTGGTATTAAATAAACAGACTAAAGTTTTGATCGAAGAATGGAAAAAGTAGGTGAAATAATTCATTTATACATCTTTTTATTTTTTAATGTTAAATAAATATTGATTATTTTGGTTTTTATAGTAAAATAATTTGCTTAAACCGTGCAAAGTCAACAACAGGGCAAACTAAACTTAAAAAGGTCCTTGGAATCCAGCCACAAGATCAGCCTTTAATAAATTATTGGAGCGCACATCTTGCTTAATATATAAATTTTATATTTGAAAATTGTAAATACATTTCCAATTAATTTAAGTTTATTTAAAAAACTAATCAAATAAACTCAACCAAAACTAATTTTCTTTACTTTAAAGAACAACAATAAAGAATTGGACGACTTTAAGTATTTACTTTATAATAAAAAATAAATTTATTATAAAGTACAATAAAAAAAGTTAATATCAACAGTTATAGAAAAATATTTTTAAAAATTTTATATACTTAACGAATATTTGTTTGGTGATTTTGGGTGTTTTATTATAATGAAGAAAATTAAATGGATTTTCAGATTTAAGAATATATTATAAATAATTAATCCATTTTTTTATTAAAGTAATTGTCTTGAATAATAAAAGATTTTAATTATAAGACCTAGATGTGAAGATCTCCATTTTATTAACCAATCGAGTGTAAAAGTAAAGTTTGTTAAGATCGGAAAGATAATACTTTTCAGTTTGCATAGGACTGATTGGAAACCATTTGGGATAGGTATACGTGAGAAGCATACATAATTGTCTCGCAGTTGAACTTATTATACATGTGAAGGGCGTTTTTAAGTTCGGCATGATTGCACAGAAGGAACTTCTCCAAGTTACAGAACCGAAATACTTGAGCTTGCTAACATGCTAAATAGAGAATTGCTGTGATGTTAACTTTAAAATGTGGCAGGAACATAATTATAACTCAAAATGGGTCAGGTACATATGTTAGTACAGCTCCCTATTTGCTCGTTGAATTGGTTGTCAAACTCGACGAATGGCTCCGGAACATAAATCCGAACAGTCTTGAAACCTAAAATTGATAAACTATACATGTAGTGTTTTCAGATGTTAATATAAACCAATTTTACAACACACACTTAAGTATAGACTTGACATGTGCTTGAATTTTAAGAGCACTTAAGGCTTACTTAATCTAAATGTGTATTATAAAAGTGGGGCTAAATGTACTTCTGCCAAACGACAATTTCAGGTCGTATTATTATGAAACTAATATGCACAAATTATGTCTTAAATATCGCAGAGAGATCTATCCCGAATTTAATCATTTTTGTACAGGCTTATGGTTAATATTTGCACGTTCCCTTTATTTTTGTGTACGTAAGCAAACTATGAATATATATCTCCAATGGACCATATCTCTTAATTAATCATTTTTTAAAATTAAATTGTCTTTTATAAAACTTCTCATCCTTTAAAGCTATCTTCCTTTGTCTTGAAATTAAATAAATTTATTATACTTCAACAACAATGGTTTCACAACCTTTTTTTTGCAGGATTTTCATGAACCGCATTTTTAGCTTTTTTGACACCTTCAGTTGACGCTAATGTCCATTCAGTTCACTAGTCCATAAAGTCTCTTAAAGCTCTTATATGTTTAGATAAGGTGTTATTATGCATTCTACTACACATAAAACCTTCACAATTCACATCTAAACACTCGAACGATCCTCTGTATTGTTGTGTTCAGAATTAATTTCCATTTCGGTTAGAACCGAATTTTCATTTAATTTTACATATTAAAAAAAGCACTTTTTCTTGGTTTAAAATTCCATTATTTCAGAAATATGAAAATTAAATTATTTAATAATTAACTACAACACTTTTTGGAACTAAAAAAAAGCTTTCATTTTATTCAAGATGTTTGTTGTCTTGCACTTAAAAATTTTTTTCAATGCGTTTAAATAATGATCGCCAATCTTCTATAAATAAGTTTACTTCTTGTAACCACAGCTTGAACGACGTCCACGGGCACGTTCAAATTTACGTCCCTTTGATCGTACGTATGGGCGAGTGTGTGAATGTGGCACACCAGGTGCTTTACCGAAATGTTTGTGTGCAGTGCGTGCCGTACGTTTTCCTTGCAACAACAAAGTATTCTTGCCTGTGGGTGCTTTCAAAGCCAATTGATCGAAAGTCAATACTTCACCTCCGGCTTTTAAGATACGTTCGCGTGCTTTCTGTGTAACATGTAAAGCACATACAGTCATCTTTGGAACAACAAGAAGACGAGCATCGTCAGTGATAGTACCAACAACAACTACGGTTGATTCAGGTTGTTTGGCCTTCTTTACGAAGCGAGTGACACGTTGTAAAGACATTGGTGGCCTGTTAATTCTGCTCATAAACAAACGCTTTAGAATGATGCGATTGAATTTCTTGTTAGTGCGGCGTTGCAAGAAACGGTACAACTAAAACAAAGAAGAAAAAAAAACATTTCATTTTATTGTAAACAATTTACGAGCATTTGGATCTGTGCTTAGAACAGTGATAAGCATATACCCAAATTATTGCTTGAAAGTATTAGATGATTTTATTATTCTTACCTTAACAAGCAGACGTAGGTATACATCCTGGGACTTTGGTTCAGTCCGACGAACCTTACGATCGTATTTATGGCAAATATCAATACCCTGTAAATCAAACAAATTAAATTTTCACATCCTCACATAGTAAACAAATTTTTCACTTCATTGCATTTATATTATTATGTTCAGATTTATTAAATACGCTGATGTTTTTAAACATAATAATATTTGGCAATTTTCTTGTTAGTCTTACCATTTTGGCGACCGGAAAAAGAAAGAGACGTAACGTTGGTAGGACTGTTTTTGTTTTGACAGTTCTTCATTTGTCAAGAAGTTCAATGGGGTGTGTTTAATACTTTACTAAATGTCATCTCGATGTTTAACCCAATGGTAACATAAAAGAATTTATCTTGCAAGTTTCGGATATCCTATTTTTTGAATAAGACCGTTTGCGAGTTCGAGTAAATTGATGGTAAATTGAGGGAAATAGTAAAATATGTTGGTATGATAAAAATTAAGTACATTAGGTTTCACCATTGAGAAAATAAAATTAAAAAAATCCCTATGAAATTTCAGTTTACTTCAGTTTACTTAAATTTAAGAATGTGTGTAATTTCTACTCAACTTTAGTCTGAGTGATCAAAAGCAGTTCTACTTAGAACGTGTGCGAGTTAGGCTAAGTTGATGCTAAACCAAATGGGAGATTTTTTGGGATTTTTTGCACTGCACACATTTAGCCATTTATCAACACGTATCGACACATCACTACATTATCGACACAACTTAGAATTTCCCTCATTTAGAACGCAACTTAGCCTAACTCGCACACGACCTTAGTAGTAAAAATCAAAATCTGCGTATAATAGAAGCAAATATGCATGTTGTTATGTAGATTCACACAAAAATTATTAATCAATTATTCAATAATTCAATCCCAGGTACTTGAAGTCTCAAAACTTTTTACGAATAATTATATACAAGAAATAATTTTAGTATCACTGATGATGAATATTTGGCAATATTCTGAACAGATGTATCATCGGCCAAAAATTAAATTACTTAAAATAATATAAAAATAATTTTTGTTGTTGTAGTTCACTACTTTTCGAAACCTCCCTAAAAAATATTTAACTTTAACTTAATATTAAACATAATCAAATAATACTATAATACTAAAATAGTTGTGCAAGTACAAATTTAATATATGTGTTATGACTCGTTGGATAACATATATTTTTCTTATGTCCTAAAAAAAGCCTAAAGTTACCTTGACCATTATATCATGTTTACACTGCAGCTAAAAATAGTTATGTTAATGTAATTAAAATTTGGTTGTTTCCATTGGCATAAGCTGATGTATGCATGTAAAATATCTTGTTTGTTTACATTTTACATATAAAATATATGACACATATTTCAAATTATGGTAATTTCCCTTATGGGAAATTTATTTCTAAAAGTTTAATTCGATATTTTTCGCCTTAAATCAGTTGAACTTATTTATATTAAGGCGCTATGTACGATAAATTATCCTCATTCCCGATCTTAATGAGCTGCTTAAATGAGACAATGAAATCACGGTAGTACTAAGTAATTTTATTTCTCTTATTTTATGATATACTTTTGGTTGATGACCAAAAAGAGCATAAAATTGCGGCAACCAGTTAGTTTTTATTAACAAAAATTTATTTCAGATAAAATTTGTAGTTATTTGTAGCCGTTATTGTATACCTGTCCATATTAGATTGTACTTTCCTGTACTTTAACTAAGAAGTATCAGTGGCTCCGGTAACTGCAATTAGCAGTTACATGTTATGTATTATTATTACATATTTTTCGAGTTTTAAGTACTGTTACCTGACACTTTATTGTGTATTTTAGTTTCAATTAACTCTGTTTATTCTAATATATGTTTTGAGCACTAATCGCTTGCAAGAACGGAATGCTCGAAGGAGTACAAATCGTACTCCAGATTAACGAATTAAAAACGATAATAAAAATTAAACTACAATATATTGTTTGTTCCTATTATTTTAATATAAATTTAACTAAAAAATGTAGTTTATCTAGAGTTTATAATAAATAATATTGTGTGACGGCATGAAATTTACCTACATAATTAGAGCTGAACACTTTTTCTAGGTTCTCTTATTTTTCTTTATATCCTATTTATAACACATATAATATTATTTTTTGTTGTACATTTCACTTATATTTTTTAAAAATATTTTAAGGGCTCTTTGTAATAAACAGAAGGATCCTCCGGAAAAGGTGAACGACTTTACTGCTACTATATGGAGACAATGTTATTTTCAATTTTTTTTTACTTGTGAGCTGTATTTTAAGAAAATCCTACAAATCCTTACACTCAAACGGCGAGTTCCGAAGTTAACAGTATTATTTTTATTCTTATTTTAAATTGCATTCAGTGAAGTTCAAAACCAACCAAATTTCTTTCGTATGCATCAATGAAATTGGTAGCTAAAACCTCTTGGGGATATCAAGTTTTATTTGATTTCAAAGCGTATTGCATTCTACGAAACTGTTAGCAATACACATTCAATTATTATATTGATTGCACTCATTTCTTTAATATTTCAATTGCCTCTTAATGCCGAATACAAACTGAGTAAGGGTCAATAAAAATAACAACAAAATAGCCATATATAAGTTTCTCTTAAATAAGTTTAAATGTAAGTTTTAATTCATTTTCCTTAATCATATTGTATAATGTTCCAAAAGCAATTATGTGTTTACTTGTATATATTAAGAATATGTTTATCAAGCTTATACATTTTTTCTTATAATTATTTCACTGTTTGCCTAGATATTTGTAATAGTAAATTTTTTGTTTTGATAATAGAGTAAAAATTAACCTTTGGTCATTTTAGATATATACGCATAAAGCATCAAAAATAACTAAAATTATAACAATCAATTCTTCTATAAACACTTAACATGAATTTATTGCTTTAATGACAAATATATTCTAGTACGACTCACTTGCATTAATGTAATAATTGATATAAATTTAAACTTTTTTCTTTTTCATTAGTTTCATAAAGAGTACCATACCAATAAATACAAAAATTACGAACATAATCATTATCCACATCCAACACTTCCACGCATTTCGTGAATGATCTTCTAGTTTTTCAGTTTCTTTGTGTAACGAACTAATGTTTCGATCCGCCATACCAGTTGAACGGGACACTAATTCGGTATCCTTTTTAATAATACGATTTGCTGTTTCTGTCTGTTCTTTTAGATTACGAGTCAGTGAAAGCATATGCTCTGTAATTTTTTCCTGCGCTTCATTGTAATACTTAACCGCTTCGTTCATATTATCCGCCGTTTGTGCATCATCTGGTTTTCTACGCCGTAACGTGTCCTCTATGTGATTAAATAAAATACAAAATATTAGTTTTACTTAGTTTTATTATAAATTTTTTTATTTCTTAACCATTTAATAGTTCCTTCCTTAACTCTGTATATTGCTTTGCATTTTGTAGTTGCCTGACTTCCTTGATAACGTCATCGCCAGATTCTGCACCAATTTTGGAACGCAGCTGAGTAGTTGCCTCTGAATAGTTCGTTATGGATTTTAAATTCTCCAATCTCTTAACATAATCTGGTATTTTAGCATTACTTGATGAACTAAAATTACAAATTTACATTTTGCAATATGTTAAGAAAAATTATATTCTTTTACTCTTCATATTCTTGCAATTCAATTATCATGGTATCGAGTGATTTGATAAATTTTCGCAGTCGCCAGTAATTACTTTCATCTTTAGATAATTCTTCACAGTTAGATAAAAGAGTTCGTATATTCACATTTAATTTGGTTACCATTTTTTTAAATACTTTTTTCTATTAATCAAATTCGGTTTACACGTCACAAACGCATAAACATAAAACCTAGACCGAATGACAATGAACTATTTAGTTTCTGATTGTAAACAAAAGAACGTCATATGAAACATAATACATTTGACAGGCCCTCTGTCGTGAAATATTGAACTTATTGTTTGAGAACAGGTGGTTATTCTAAATTTAATTATTTATAATTTTAGTTTTATTTATAAAACAGTACACATTTAAAGTGAACATTATTGCACAGTTATTTTATATTATTTTAACTAAATTCACATATAAAATATTATATAAAATCAATCAAATATTTTTATTAAAAAAATTGACAACAAAGGTCAACTGTCATTTTTCACTAGTATATCTATTTCATTTTTTCAAGATAATTATACAAAATGAAATAGCAATACTACCAACTGACAAGCCAGAAAACCATTTTGCAGTTCTTCACATAAAAAAAATTTTCTGCCAGACAGACAGGGAGAAAATATAAAAAGCGTGGAAAATATAAGTTTTATTGTGGGATTTTTTAAAAAAAAGATTGCATTAATACATTAAGTAAGTAAGATAAATTTTTTTTTATTATAAACTTGTATTTTGTTTGTATTTATTGTAAAGGTTTTTTTGTTCTTATCATGACATATGCATTTATATATGCACATACATATTTGCAATTTTTCTGAAAAGTAATTCAAACATTTAGTATAACAAAATGTATACTTTTATACGGAATAATACATAATATGTATTTCCATTAAAGATCAAAAAAATCGTTTGTCTTAATAATGATGAATAATCAAAAATCAATATATTTTTACACACCTCGTTTGATTTGTCTTTGTATATTAATTTGAAAATGTTTTATTTCATTTTTAGCGTAAAAGTTATTTAAGCAAACATGACGTGGGAACCGCAGGCAGAAGGATTGCAACAAATAATCACGATTCTGAAAGAATCTCAGTCTCCAGATACAGCCACACAAATGGCAGTACAAATGGTAAGTCAAAAATGGAATATGGATTTAAATGTCTACACTTGTTATTTTATGTATTCTTCTCAGTCTTCATATATTTAAAATATTATGAAGCAGTTATATATGTTCTGTATGAACTATTGTAAAATTATACAATTATTTTTATATATATTTTACAGAAACTAGAGGAATTGAATCAATATCCAGATTTTAATAATTATCTAATTTATGTATTAACCAAACTTAAAACTGAGGATGAGCCTACACGCAGCTTAAGCGGCTTAATATTGAAAAATAATATTCGGATACATGGCTGTAATTTGCAACCAGAGATTGTTGAATATATTAAATTTGAGTGCCTACAAGCGGTTGGTGATCCCTCGCCTCTGATTCGAGCAACAGTCGGTATTTTAATCACAACTATTGCCAGCAATGGTGGCTTGCAAAATTGGCCACAATTATTGCCATCCTTATGTGACATGCTTGACTCACAGGATTATAATGTGTGCGAAGGAGCTTTTAGTGCGCTACAAAAGATTTGTGAGGATTCTGCGGAAATACTTGACTCAGCCGTACTAAATCGACCCTTAAATATTATGATTCCAAAATTCTTACAATATTTCAGTCATAGTAGTCCGAAAATACGATCTCATGCTATAGCTTGCATAAATCAATTTATTATCAATCGTTCTCAAGCTCTAATGGTGCATATTGATTCGTTTATAGAAAGCTTATTTAATTTATCGTCAGATGATGACCATGAAGTGAGGAAGAATGTATGTCATGGTTTGGTTATGTTATTGGAAGTGCGCATGGATCGATTGCTGCCTCATATGCCACAAATAATTGAGGTACACAAAATTCATTTATACTAAATACTTATTTTATAATAATATATATTTTTATATAGTACATGATGATACGTACACAAGACACGGATGAAGGTGTTGCTCTGGAAGCGTCTGAATTTTGGCTTACTCTAGCGGAACAAAGCATATGCAAAGAAGTGTTGGCTCCTTACTTAGCACAGTTGGCTCCAATTCTTGTACGTGGTATGCGTTATTCTGAAATAGATATAATTTTGCTAAAAGGAAATGTTGAGGAGGATGATATGGTGCCAGATCGAGAAGAAGATATACGTCCACGTTTTCATAAGTCTCGCACACACACTGTTAAGTCCGGGGAGTCTGGACTTGATGATGATGACGATGAATTTGACGATGGCCTTGACGATGATAGTTCTTTGTCTGAGTGGAATTTACGTAAATGTAGTGCAGCTGCTTTAGATGTCTTAGCAAATGTTTTTAGAGAAGAATGCTTACCCATTGTATTGCCCATACTAAAAGATACACTTTTCCATCAAGAGTGGGTAATTAAGGAAAGTGGGGTGCTTGCACTAGGTGCAATTGCTGAAGGATGCATGCAAGGCATGATACCACATTTACCTGAATTAATACCATACTTAATTACTTCACTTTCGGACAAAAAAGCTTTGGTGCGTTCTATTACTTGCTGGACTTTATCTCGTTATGCGAACTGGGTTGTTAATCAACCCCATGACCAATATTTAAAGCCATTAATGGAAGAACTTCTGAAACGTATACTTGATTCAAATAAAAGAGTGCAGGAAGCAGCATGCTCCGCATTTGCAACACTGGAGGAGGAAGCATGTACTGAATTAGTACCTTACTTGGATTATATATTGAAAACATTAGTTTTTGCTTTCTCAAAATATCAACATAAAAATTTACTAATTTTGTACGATGCTGTTGGTACATTGGCCGATTCCGTTGGTCATCATTTGAATAAGCAACAATATATAGATATCTTGATGCCACCATTAATTGACAAATGGAACTTGTTAAAAGATGATGACAAGGATTTGTTTCCACTGCTTGAATGTTTATCTAGTATTGCTACAGCACTCCAATCTGGATTTCTACCATATTGTGATCCTGTTTACAGACGCTGTATCTCACTAATAGAGCAAACTATCAATCAAGATATGGTAAGAAAAAAAAAATAATTGTCAGTTTACTTATAATTTAACAACGGTCATACTTTAAGGTTTGTAAAACAAATCCCGGTTTTGATCATCCCGATAAAGAGCGTATGATTGTAGCACTAGATTTGTTGTCTGGACT